ACCCACCATGCCCCTTCTGACCTCATCCTGACCCTTCTGAACCCACCCTGACCCTACTGAACCCACTACGACCCTTCTGAACCCACCATGCCCCTTCTGACCTCATCCTGACCCTTCTGAACCCACCGTTACCCTTCTGAACCCACCATGACCTTTCTGAACCCACCGTGACCCTTCTGAACCCACCGTGACCCTTCTGAACCCACCCTGACCCTACTGAACCCACTACGACCCTTCTGAACCCACCGTGACCCTTCTGAACTCACCGTGTCGGCGTCTATGAAGATGAACGGGCATTCGGCCTGCGTGCAGAGCACCTCCAGTGCAGTGAGGAACTGAGCGGAGATCGAACGAAGCACCTCGTTCATCGATAGATAGTGACACGACTCACGTGTCAGGTTGTACAGACGCCGCCGCGTCTCCTGCCGAGCAGACAACGACAATGGCAACAACATCAACAACAAACCATCGCAGACGCCACGACGTCGTTAACGAACCATCGCATAGCGACGGGTGACATAGGCAACACTTATTACGACCAGATTACATCACTGATGCGGTGTATGTTGTTCGTGCACTGTCAACATTTTACAGCCATTTTTGTAAAGATTACAGTGAATTTATTTTACAAATGAACGTTGTTTTATCCAATATATCTGCCAATTTAAAATTAAGAAACAATGTTGTAGCATTTACATGGTCTCGTCAATATATTTTACACTCAAATGTATTACATAGTAATGGATACCATATACTATCATCACGTACATTATAAAATTAGTGAACATCATATAGCATATGATCACGTATAGACTCATGTAAAGTGTACACTACTTCATACACGTACTACCGAATCTCTCTACATCACATGATCTCTACTGACCTTGAACAGCTTCACGAATATGAAGTAGGTGTTGACGGCGGTCGTTGCCGTGGCGTCGGCCATCAGGTTGCACACGTGGAGGCGCCACGTGTCCTCCACCTCGTCGCTCTGTATGTTGATGAACGTCGAGGTGGGCGAGCCGGGGAACTGCACCGGTGTCGCCCCCATGGGGCTGAGATCAACGATCTCTATGTCGCGATCGCTGCACACGCTGTGCCTGCAGAGAGAGACGCCATCACACGTTCACTTGTTTTGCAGTTCATCCCTGCGCAAGCGCGAGAGCGATCGATTGCTCACGTAAGCGAGCAACACATCCACGCAGTCTAAGCATTGAGACCATAAATGGTTTAATGTTGGCCTTAGCGGAGTGGCGATGTCGTAATTGCAATGTTCTCGCTCCAAAGACAATTTTTTTACAGCATTATTACATTGCCCTTACCAATTTCATGGTAAAATTAGAGAACGACATATATAGGACCACCATGAATACGTCGAACGATAACACTGCTCAGCCTTACAGTATTGCTGTAATCGCTGCTGCATGCCAACGCCAACTGGAAATCGATATGCCCTGGCCTGCCCTCTTTACCATGATGGTGCGAGCTCATCACCTGCTCGGACGGTTACCATGGTTACCTACGACGACTCAAACGTCAGCTTATGGTTACCATGGTTACCTACCAGTACTCGGACGTCGGCGTATGGTTACCATGGTTACCTACGAAGACTCGGACGTCGGCTTATGGTTACC